GTACTTAAAGGCACAACGGGCCAAGTGAGTTCCGTAAGCGGTCGGTGAGCACCTACCTACTTAAAGTAAGCGTACACAGTAGGATTTATTTGTACACCAAATTTCGGGACAGCTTTTCAACTGCTTCCTGTCTTTGCATGAATTAGATAACAAAATGGAGAACACAGCAGTTTGAATTTGCACAATATCAATATATATCGGCAAGGTTATTTTATAACGCGGCAAATAGTCAATAATGATAATGTGGCCTTTAAAGTTGTGATACAGGAAAGAAAAGTGGGGACGATAATTAACAAAAATCAAAGGATTCAGAAGACACGTTTGGCGAGTGTGCGCATGCTTTCGATAAATTCTCGTCAGGCCTGTACATTTATATGGAAACGGGGCAAGTGAACTGCTGAAAAGACGCCTTGAACAAGCCGATTCAAGAACCTTCCAAGCAGCCAGAGTTTGGGTATTATTTTCAACCAACCCAATCCTACATGGGGAAGGCAAGGATAGGTTACCAGCTCAGACCACCTCCATGTGTATATACTCTTACAATTGCTCCTGTGGAACAGGTTATATTGGTCGCACGGGTCGGCGACTATCCAAAAGAATAAAGAAACACCTCCCAACATGGCTGAGAAAAGGTGAAGTCAGGAACATAACCAGCTCGATTCTGGCGCATATTTCGATTCCGAACATCGGGTGGATCCCAACGAAGCTTTCCGAAGGATTTACAAGGTCCCACCAAATTATCCGATGTCCCTAGGTCAGTGCCTGTTAGCAACAGCAGAAGCGACCGCCATCAGGCTGACGAAGCCCGCGCTGTCTGCACGCAAGAACTTCCTACAAGCTCCGCAGCTGTCGTGGTCCACAGTCACTTAGTCGCATGCTGGTCTCCCTCCCCTAGACTGCTCCATCAAACCCTACTCCCATAAACAGTCTTCGCTTATCGACTCCACCCCATTCCCACGACTCACTTGTCGGAAAAGACGAACAGGTTTGAACTTGCACCTCATTTCCATATAAATGTACAGGCCTGACCAGAATTTATCGAAAGTATATGCATACTCGCCAAACACGTCTTCTGAATTCCCTGATGGGAATTTTTGCAACTCTAAAAAAGCAAAGGTTGATGAAATGTAGACATGCGATTACCAGGGCACTTAAAGATTAGCCACATGATCTAACTGCTTATATAGGTCGGACTTCTCCCGCCGTATATAAGCTCCTTACATGTAGCGCAAGATCCCATTTGTTCTTGCTTGAACAAGAACTCGGAAAGATTTTTCGAGGTCAACAAAGTGACCACTGCCTAGCAGGTGTTTTGTAGTGGAGGACCGCGGCATTTTGCTTTCTTGTTTAAAAAGCCAATTAGGTAAATTTTCAGCGGCCCTGGTCGCCTATTGCCTTTGCGTACGCCCAATGTACTTGCATCCGAACATTAACTGGAAATTGTCGCGAAATTATAGAACAATTAGATGCATACTTTTCCCCACTTATTAATTCACATTATACTTCAACCGCCCCAGACTAACTGTCGTTCTTAACCCCACTCCTTGCAGTGGAAGTCTGCAGCTGATAACCAGCGCGCTGGAGATTCGAGCTTTCAAGGCTTGCAACAATATTACCACGCCCACAGATGACAGTATTTTTGCCTATAATGTGCCGCTTCAAGGCAACGCGACCAGTGCCGACGTCAGTCCCCGGCGAAATCAGGCCGACATCGCCATTTGTCTTCGGCCCAATGAGAGGGTTCTTGTGCCCTTCAAGTACATGGAATGCTCTGCTTCCAGCGTCGATGAGTTTCTCAGCATAAAGCCCAAGGTAATATCATATAAGGGGAAATTACGGGTCATATACGCCTTCCCCGTGAGAGCAGACTTACGTTTTATTGGAACTTGCGTACAAAAGAGGTTTTTTAGTCCATAAAATGTCATCAGCTAAGTAAGAGCTTAGAAATTCAAAGGAAAATACCAAGTTCGGGCGTTTGAGATCATAAGTGCTCAAGAACTTTGAACGTTTTAGTTTATACCTACAAATTTTACAGTCGACAGCTAAGATAGAGCTCTTGATTGTCGAGAATGTGACCTAAGAAACCGAAGTCTCATAGGGGGAGAAACCAGACCTTAAGAAGGCTGCTTTCACCGGTGAACAGACAGGCCACTGCATCATCCTATGCCAACACCGCAGGGCCCGATTGTCATTGCTGACGTAACGAATCAGCGCATACTCCAAGCGTTTATCGATTTTTTCTGCACGTTTAAATTTGACGGCAGACTCCTGTACACAAACTACCTGTATCTGCTGCTGTTCTGTGATTATGTCTCTGACGATGAATCCGCGACGGATGTCGAAACGTCAGGCGAATAAACATATTGTCTCAGCGATCGAGTCGTCTTCTTCTCAATTACTTCCTGGGACTCGCAGGTTCGCTTGTATTGGCAAAGGTAAATAACCCGAACATTTACCTCTGACATGCAAATAGAGGTGAACGGGCGAATACTTAAGCTGCTCTCTACCTAATGCCTCGATACACACATTCCTAAAACGGGACTCATCCATCATTAGGTCGCATATACGAGCAAGAGCAATTGTTCGGAGTCCAACATTGTTCCAACCAAATGCATGCCAGGGTCCTGTCCACAGGTAAGAATGATATATGATTCGTCACAATCCTTATTTCGACTGCAAGCAATTCCCTTTCAAACGGACAAGCGGTCACACACCTTAAAAGTCTGACCACTGTACCTTGCTCAGTATGTTTCACATATAAATTTGGTGGTCAATTTTCATCCTCTTTTCGCCTGCCGACTAGTTGAGGGGGTATGTGTTATGAGTTAACCTAAGATGCTTCTGAATATTATTCCTTTCAGAACCCCATCGATGATCGCGTTGCCACCAGAGACAAGTGTGAACGCACAGTAATGGTAAGTGCTTCTATCGTTCTGTAACCTTTTTCCTGTTTGAAACCTCTTCCGCAAAGGATACTATCATAGTGTACCAGCCTACCCTCTTCTAATTCCAGAGTCTAGATCTTTTTCATTGAAGGCGGACTAAACTTCGATTCAGGTGGGGTCCCCTGTTTGACCGACTTTAATCATTGAGAAAACATGTTGCCTGAAAAAAACTTGTTAAGATACATACTTCGTCGCTGTTAGATGGGATTTTACACTTGTAGAACCTTTAACGGTAAGGAGGGTTTATAGTTATCTCCAAGCCCCCTGCTTGATTAGTCATTGTTTCAGGGTGCACTTTTCGCGTGCTCGAAATACTTCGGGATTATTCTGCACGAAAATAACTATTACAAACCTGCTTGGGAAGATTCTTCTGACCGAAAACAGTGTCAATTTTGGGCAATATTTCATGAGATAACACGCTTACTGCATATATGTATACAGTTGAGCCTCGGGTGACGAATAGCCCCATATACGAGCATTTTAGGTAAAGAACGAGCCAGTCACAGAAAATTTGTTTTGATTGACGAGTTTCCGCTCAGTTAACTAGCTGTCACAAGGGAGTGTGTGTACCTGTATCCGCCGCCGAGTCTCACTCCTAGGGCGTGGGTCCTCAGTCGTCCACAGCCAATCAATGAAGTGATGCAGTTTGATTGGCTTCGTCTCGCAAGACGAGTGTTTCACATGACTAGCTCGGCGCTGGAACGGATTAAACTCGTTAACCGAGGTATCACTTTACTTTTGCCTTGCGCGCCGGTGAAGCCGTTTAATGAAGCCAAAACATTAGTATCGAAGTATTTACCATGTCCAGCATGACTGGGAGGGACTGAGGAGGGAGTAATATATTCGTCAGAAGCAACTTTGACTACATTTGTGCAGAAAATTCCCTGAATTCTTCTCTCGATGGTCGTTCTCTCTCCCCCTCGATAACGACAGGCTAACACTTTTAAAAAAGTTGCCAGTATTGATCACAACGACCTCACAACATCGAGTTTGAAAAAAAACAAATAACCACACTCAAAGACTGAACATGATTTGGGGCCTTTTCGTGTTTTTATTGGTTGCTACGTGCCTGGACTAAAAGGAATGACGTCAGTCTCCCCAACGAACACAGTCTACATGTTCCATCCTCCTGATTGGCTGTCAACCATCGTTAGCTCCACCAATCACACTAAAGCTGTTGGTGTAGCAAACCCGAATATGGTATGCAACGAATCGCCAGCCTGAATAAGAACAAGACTGTTTCTAGGGGAAAAGATTTGTGTTTACTTAGTACGAAAAGGAAGACGAGTTGGAATTTCTGGGGAGATAAATACACTGAGAAGTCCTGTAACGGGGACTGGCTGGCCTGAGGTTGATCCTTGGTAGCCCGTCGGCGAGAGCGGCGATGGTGTGAAGAGACGTTCTCCGCTCCAAAGTGATGCACGTCATAGATCCTCGGTATTTATAAGGCCTCTTGACGAAATGAATAGGTTTAAGGGATAGATTAATAGGCACGAGCACATTTGACAAGGAATGGTCAGATAACGCATGTGATTAGCCAATAAGTGACCGAGACCGCATCTTGCGCCCAACGTCCGATAAGATTAAAGTTCAAAGGTAGCTGCCTCACTTGGTGTCGGTCGGTAGTCGGTCGTGCGCTGGAAGTCTAGGCTGACTCATCCAAATTTAGGTAAACTGTGGCCACATCTCTACGTTGCCCCCTCCTCTATCGCTGTCCTCCGTAAATTCAACGTCATCTAGCAACTTTACAGGGTCCTCCGAATTTCGTGAATTATCTCTCAGGGGTATGACAGTTTTTTCTCTATCTTCGGATGGGGTTTCGACCATCATCTCGGTTCCTTCGCGATCCCCTGCACACACCGCGTCACTTGGATGTTCTTCTCTGCAGTTGGATTTTGTGGGCCAACCGCCTAGCTCAAGTCGATTGAAGTGAACTGTGAATTCCAACGTGGAGGGTCGCGT